CTGGTCATTCCTTTTTACCTCCATAACCCTCTATCTCGCCCTCCATCCTCCTCCACCTCTTGTTAGCTCTCCACCGACGTGGTCGTCCCGTTTCACTTGGTCCAATCCCCGCTCTCCACAGCCTCTCCATGTCCGTTATATCCGCTACCATTTTCGCCGGAATCCTTCTCTCAACGGCTTCCGAAATACGGGAGACTCGCTGGTTTTGGCGCCGCAGCAAGACGACTCCGCTTCAGTGGCTACTTGCTTCCTCTGGAACACGTCCTTCCGGGCGTGTCTTCTTTTGGTCATATATTTTTCTACCTTCTCGCTTCCTCCACATGTGGCGTACTTTCTTCACCATCCTACGACGTCGAAAACTGGTGTTCTTCCGTTATTCTACAATTCAATTTTAACGCTTACGTCGTTCTTGTGGCTGAGTATTCTCAGTCCATTTCAGGTTTTAGTGATTCTGTTTACGACGTTGGTATATTCAGTTGTTTATGGGTACAGGTTTTGGACAGGAATAGGTTACCAAGAGCTTGTTTTCCGTTGGTTATAAACTGTCAAATGGTGCTTTTGGGATGCAACTTGGTGTGCCATATTGGAGTTCTCCTGCTGCATTTATGAAGAACGGAGGGTGTATGGGATTGGGGCCTGGGTTTTTAACTGTGTCTTGGATGCTGCGATTTTGCTTCTGTTTTGAAGTTCTATGTCCAGATGCATTTAGAGAAGAGAAAATTTGTTTAATGCAACCAGAGGGGAAGACAATGTCCACTTAAAGTTATTAGATCTTTTTTGCTCTCTAAATTGGGAAATCCAGTTTGTCTTTTGAGAAAAAGAAAAAAACTAGAAGACGATATTGTATGTAATGATGGGCATGTTGTAAGATTGTAAAAATTAATCTCTAGGCAAATAGGTCTGTTTGTTGAATGTTTGTATGTGGTATGTTACAGATAAAATTGCTGATTGTTGTAGTTTAATATCTTTCTTTCATTTAGAGACATCATTTATCCCACCACAAGTATAGGAAAGAGTAGTTGATTAAGGTGTTATACAGTATTAATTGGTCCACATCAATACCAATTAAATTGCAGAGTGGAAAACCAAATGTCTCAATCAAGAAAAAATTAATCTTGTCAATAGTGTTATCAATCGCGATATTGTGGGCTAAGCGTATACCAAGGGATAATAAGGGATCTAGCTTTTAGAGGGTGGAATAAAAAGAGACAATAGATGGTGGCCAAATTAAAAGAAAAGTAACAAGCAGACTATGGTAGTGGTCTGCCATACCAGGTCCACACCCATCTCCCTAGATTTCTCGAGCCCAGCTACAAGTTCCAATCTACGTTGTGAAGAGTGAGACTGATCGATTGAGAAAGTCAAGAATTGTATTTCTGCTATATCAAAAATTATTTACACTTGTAAGCATGAGCATGATTCATGTATGAGAGTTTCTGTAACGGGGTGATGATATTCCAGGATTCAGTCACTCACCACTCCGCATTACAAAACAACCATAAAGAAGAAAAGCTAGGTAACATTATCATTATCATTCCGGCAACATGATCTAACATAGTTAAACTCTGTATGGGTATAATTATTAGATTCATGGCCCGGAGGTTTTCTGACGAAGATCAAGATCATCATCATGATAATGCATCAAACTACCAGGAAAAAAAAAAAACAAAAAAACCAAGTGGGTCACAAAGGATAGCAAGCTGCTGATTCTTAATTCACAGCTACAGCTATGCCTTATCTAATTACTTTCAATGTTACAAGGGGCGTTCCGTTAACTTTTTTTTCTTTTTTTGGTTAACTGAAGTGTTGGATACAGTTTGTACATATCTAATCTTAACAAGTCCGAAGGACAGGTAAGCTACAATGTTTGTGGTAGATAGCCCAAGGTTTAAACCTATAAACTTAAAAAATTAGCAAATCTTCTTAACATCAAACAACTCTACGGTAGTTTCGTTAACTTTTTGGTGACAACTTCTAGGGAAAATCTACACATGTCATAGTCTCTCTGTCTGCTTGAAGAAATATTGAAATTGATATTTTTCGAAAAACCAATTGAAATAGGAAGAAAGAGACATAAAATTACACATTTAAATGAAGGGGCAGAAAGAAATAGACTTAAAATTACCATTTCTCATGCTATATTACTATAAATTTTAGGTTTTATATGGTGACAATTGACAAATCCCACTGCCAGTCATCTACTACAATGCGGGCTAGGGATGGCAAGACCCTGGGCCGCCAAGCTTGGTTTTCAAATACTGGGTCTGGCCGCATTTAATTTAATCAATATAATTAATTATTTTATTATATATTTTTTGATTATCAAATCTGGACAGGTCCGGATCGAGTTCTGGGTTTATTGTGCCCGCGTTCAGCAAGGTAATATAATCCTGTTGTAGTATTTCGGCCCAGGATAGCTACCCGATTGGGTGATGCTTTCCTTTTTCATCCCGGTTCCGTCAAAGATCATCGCTATTTTCAATGTTAAATACTCTCTATTTATTTTTCAAAAAAATTCTCTTAATCATATTTACTAGAGTGTTTTATTTGCATCCGTTTTTCTCCCAATTTCAAATTTAATTAGGGTTTATTTTACATCACATTTTCCCAATTTCTTAATTAGGTTCTTTGTTTATACCATTTTTTTTCCCAATTTCAATTCAAACTACTTTTCCTCTTCAGATTCATTCAGTTGTGTAATTAATTTTTCCTAGCATTAGGTATATATATCATCAAACAAAAATTTATTTTGAAGAAAAAAACATTTAATAATTAAAAAATTAGATTTAGGGTTTGGGTAAGAATTAAAATAGAGGTATTGTATTTAGAAATTATAATGTCAGTAAGGTTAAACTTGTCAAAACAAAATTGATATGGGGCTTAAAAATCTGTTCCTGTTGAGCAACAGTGTTGCTATTGAAGCCCAATTTAATGTGTTAGTCCCAGTTATCATCTTTTAAAAATTGAAATATAAAATAGTTTAATTATTAAAATAGATATTACTCTCCAAACAATACGTTCTTCATTTTCCTGATATAATAAGTAGAACCTTCATAAGAGAGACGGATGAGTATTGCCATTAGGAAAATTCTGCAAATATTAAAATAATGGTGTTGAAGCTTTTAGTGAAAACAACCGGTGAAAGATATGAACTTTTCAAAAAGCCATGTAAAGAATCCAGGAAGTATCATAATAGCTTTCACACAGTCAGCCTGAAGGCGGTATTTTAAGTAGAACTAATGGCAGTAGCTTGAGATCGTCGGCTTTTCCACAGAGCAGGTGAGTCTACTCCAACTTCAGCCTCCACGCTTGTCTTTATCTAAAAGACAAACTAATTAAAACAGTACAAGGTTGACCAATCTGGAGACTTCTTCAAGTAATTACCTGGGGTTATATGAGCTCTGGGGTTAACTAATTTAATTTTTATTTACATAATGAAAGATATTTGGCACAAGGCTGCGTGATGAAAGATAAATTAATTGGTGTTTTCCCATTAATGAAGTAAAAATTTGCACCAATTAGAGATACGTGATTGATAGCATTAAAATCACGGAAAATATATATGTGCATGATCTCCATAGATCAGTAATAAAACAATACAATAATGATTATGCAAGGATTAATACAAAAAAACAAAGAAATCAAAGACTTTTTAAAGTGGTATGATACTTGTAATGCAAGGCTTACGTCCACTATTATATTCTTGAATACGTTGAAACAATAATTTGATTTACAAAGAGTTTGTAAATTACTTTCTATGATTGATTTTTCGTCCTTAGAAATAGATTACAACTAGGTTTATATAGTGTCAGTTATACGGTTGAATCGGGGTTAAACTCAAATTTGATTAAACAAGGGAGTTGCGTGATCTTCCACCTTAATTATAAAAATTTTATCCACTCTAAATTACTCGCACAACACCATCTATAATACCACTTGGTCAACATCTCAAAATGCATTAAAAAAAATGAAACCCACCCACCGTTTACTACTAGTCAACAATCCTTGTAGTTTTATTACATCTTTATTCCTTCTTGATTGAGAGATGGAATAACAAATTTACATACGTGAATATGCAAGAAATCTAAGTTCACTTTACAAAATTGTTGCTTGAGCAGCATTACATTTCTATCTACTTTCTAATTGGGCATCATCTATAAATTCTAAGTTGAAAAAAAACTCCTTTCTATATGATGGGTATATTAAAAAGATTCTGAACGAATTAAAAACAATAATAATCTTGTACTTGCAGTAAGTTATGATTGTGCGTCAAATTCAGGTCATTTTTATTGTCCCACTAAATATGTTGAGCAGCATATATGCCTTCCTAATGTAAAATTTACGTCCTTGAAGCTAAGAAAAAGCCTCTTGTCTTCACGTAAATAAGCGGAATAGAGTTTAATACTCAATAGTGATACGTAAAACCTGGGTTTACTAAAATGAATTCCTCCGAACCTGACATAAAATATATGGCAAAACCCTGAAAATGGTTTAAGCTTATGATCAGATATAGAGACTTGAATAGCTTAACCATTTCAGATGCAGGCAAGCGTATTAACTCTAAAACTGTGATGGATACGTTCCAGTTGATATCGACTGCACTCCTCAAACGTGTAGATGAAGATCACAAGTTTTCAAGATAAATGCAATATCAAGAAATTAATGTATTAACATTTATTTTACTTCACGTTATCGCCCAAAATGACATGCTTTCCGACGGTCTGCCATGGTGAATTAGTCAGCCGACAGGGATACAACGCTACCAACTACACCGATTCGTTGCTTTCTTGTAATTTATGTGAAGGCTGTTGCGCGCTAAGTTACCAACTCCAACTTTTTGTTTCCCTCTTTTCCTTTTATGTCTACAGTTCCTGCTCTATAAATACTCATAACCCATATTAGCTCTTATCATAATCATACCAAGTTCTTAAATTTTCTCATTGTTCAAGTTTTCTTCTCTAGTCTTGTGTGTCTCGAAAGTGAAAGACAAAAAAAACACACAAACAATGGCTTCCTTGATGAGCTTCCTCATAGCTTTTTCTCTCATTGCCTTTGCCCCTTTTTGCTTCTGTGGCAAGGCCAACAATGGTTACCTCTACCCCCAGTTTTATGATCACTCATGTCCCATAGCTCAAGAGATAGTGAAGTCCATTGTGGCTAAGGCTGTTGCAAAAGAAACCCGCATGGCCGCTTCTTTGCTGAGGCTCCATTTCCATGACTGTTTTGTAAAGGTCTGCTACTTCCTCAAAACTCTCGTTTCATTTTCTTAAATTCATTCATAAAAATTTTCACAACTTCATTTCCATGTATGAATTGTACTTTACACTGTATGGTTAATTTTATAGGGGTGTGATGCATCAATATTGTTAGATAGCAGTGGCACCATAATTAGTGAGAAAACCTCCAATCCTAACCGGGGTTCTGCTAGGGGATTTGAAGTCCTGGATGAGATCAAGTCTGCTCTTGAGAAGGAATGTCCTCAGACGGTATCCTGTGCTGATATTTTGGCTCTAGCTGCCAGAGATTCCACTGTCTTGGTAAGCCTTAATATTTTAGCCTTGTTACTTTACCAAAATGGCCTTGCAATATGGCCAAATCTTACCAATTTTTGCATGTCCAGACTGGTGGTCCTAGCTGGGAAGTTCCATTAGGAAGAAGAGACTCCAGAGGTGCAAGCTTGAGTGGCTCTAACAATAACATTCCTGCTCCAAACAACACATTCCAAACCATTCTCACCAAGTTCAAGTTACAAGGACTTGATGTTGTTGATCTTGTAGCGCTGTCTGGTAAACTAGCTTACTGCAGTCAACTCTTATTTTGTGTTTCTAGAAACGAGGCACCTTCGAGTAATTTCTTAATTTTTTTGACGTAGGGAGTCATACAATCGGAAATTCCCGTTGCACAAGCTTCAGGCAGAGACTGTACAACCAATCAGGCAACGTTAAAACCAAAAAACGGTTCAGTTCAAGCAACCGGTTAACCGGATTTTCCACCCCTATAAAAATCACTTCCTGTTAAACAATAGTGTTGCTATTGAAGCCCAATTTAATGTTAGTCCCAATTTGCATCTTTTAAAAATTGAAATATAAAATAGTTTTAAATTTATTAAAAAAGATATTTTACTCTCAAACATTCAATACGTTCTTCATTTTTCCTAATATAAGTAAGAAACCTTCATAAGAAGAGGACAGATGAGTACGAGCCATTAGGAAAATTCTGCAATATTAAAAAAATGGTGTTGAAGCTTTTAGTGAAAACAAGCCGGTGAAAGATATGAACTTTTCAAAAAGCCATGTAAAGAATCCAGGAAGTCATAACAGCTTTCACACAGTCAGTCCTTGAAGGCGGTATTTAAGTAGAAACTTAATGGACAGTACTTGAGATCGTCGGCTTTTCCACAGAGCAGGTGAGTCTACTCCAACTTCAGCCTCCACGCTTGTCTTTATCTAAAAGACAAAGAAATTAAAACAGTACAAGGTTGACCAAACTGGAGACTTCTTCAAGTAATTACCTGGGGTTATATGAGCTCTGAGGTTAACTAATTTAATTTTATTTACATAATGAAAGAATTTGGCACAAGTTGCGTGATGAAAAGATAAATAATTGGTGTTTGCATTGATGATGTAGAAATTTGCACCTATAGAGATTTGTGATTGATAACATTAAAATCACGGAAAATGTGCATGATTCCGATAAGTCAAAATAAAACAATACAATAATGATTATGCAAGGTAATAAGAATAATAAAGAAATTAAAAACTTTTTAGAGTGTATGGTACTTGTAATGTAAAGCCTACGTATATTTATATTCTTGAATGCGTTGAAACAATAATTTGATTTACAAAGAGTGTTAAAGTTACTTCACGCTATTTTTTTATCTTTAGAAATAGATCTCTACATTTATATAGTGCAGTTATATGGTTGAATAGAGATAAAACTCAAAATTATATGAATTTATCGTCCAGATTACCACTCAACAGCACAACACCTATTATAATACCACTTGGCCAGCATCTCAAAATGCATTAAAAAAATTGAAACCACCGACCGTTTATAATTACTACTAGTCAACATCCTTTAATAACATTAATGGCAATAAACTTTTTGGTGACAACTTCTAGGGAAAATCTACCACATGTCATAGTCTCTCTGTCTTGCTTGAAAGAATATTGAAATTGATATTTTTCGAAAACACCAATTGAAATAGGAAGAAAGAGACATAAAATTACACATTTAAATTGATGGGCAGAAAGAAATAGACTTAAAATTACACATTTCTCATGCTATATTAAATTGATGGGCAGAAAGAAATAGACTTAAAATTACTCATTTCTCATGCTATATTACTATAAATTTTAGGTTTTTATATGGTGACAATTGACAAATCCCACTGCCAATCATGTACTACAATGCGGGCTAGGGATGGCAAGACCCTGGGCCGCCAAGCTTGGTTTTCAAATACTGGGTCTGGGCCTGCATTTTAATTTTAATCAATTATCATTATTTTTATTAATTATTTTTATGATTATCAAATCTGGAACAGGTCCGGATCGAGCTTCTGGGTTTATTGTGCCCGCGTTCAGCAAGGTAATATACTCCAGTTGTAGTATTTCGGCCCAGGTCAGCTAGCCCGATTGGGTGATGCTTTCCTTTTTTGCCATCCCGGTTCCGTCGGACAAGATCATCGCTATTTTTCAATGTTAAATACATCTCTATTCTATTTTTCAAAAAAATTCTTTAAATCATATTTACTAGAGTTTTTATTTGCATCCGTTTTTCTCCCAATTTAAAATTTAATAAGAGTTTTTATTTACATCACTTTTCCCCAATTTCTTAATCAGGTTTTTTGTTTATACCCCTTTTTCCCAGTTTCAAATTTAAAACTTATTTTTTCCTTCTTCATATTCATTCAATTGTGTAATTAATTTTTCCCTAGCATTAGTTATATATATTCATCAAACAAAAATTTATTTGAAGGAAAAAAACATTTTAATAATTAAAAAAATTAGATTTAGGGTTTGTGTAAGAATTAAAATTAAAAATTAAAATAGAGAATTATTATATTTAGAAATTATAATGTCAATAAGGTTAAACTTGTCAAAACAAAATTGATATGGGGCTTAAAAATTAGGGGTGGAAAAAAAAACCGAAAAACCGAACAGGATCGAAACCGAACCGAAAATTCGGCTTTCGGTTCGGTTCGGTTTGGATATTAAAAAAAAACCGAAAATCCGGTTCGGTTTCGGTTTTTGACACAATAAATTCCAGTTACCCGGAACCAATTTTCTGAACTGACATTTAAAAAAAAAATTATATTTTAGTTTTTTATTTTGCAATCCCTAACACTCACTAAGTCACTACACTAACTGTAACACTATAACACTCACTTCAGTCTTCACTCGGCAGCTCTACGCCTCCACTGCTCCAGTACTCAAATCTTAGACCTCACTACTCAGACTCAATCGCGCCGATACTTAGACATTCACCTCAGTAACTCTCAGTCTCTCACACTCTCAGAGTCTCAGTGACTCAATCTCAGTCTCTCACTCTCTCTCGGACTCTCAGTTCTCAGATTTGTGTTCTCACTTCTCATGTCGGAGTCACGCAGTCACGCCTCAGCCAGTAGCCACCGATCTTTGCTCACCGCTCTGTTGCTCAACAGTCGGCAGTCACCAGTCGCGATCACCATTCTTCTTCCTTCACCAAGTCTCCACGTTGTCGTCTGTTTCCGGTGGGTGACCTCATCTCTTTGGCTCTTTGCTTTGTATTTCTTGGTGACCTCATCTCTTTGCAATGAACATTGAACAGGAGGGCCCACGGCTCAGATATTTGATGTCCTATAACATTTTCTGACATGTTAAAAGTTTTCAGGGAACGTTTAGAGAGCATGACCTGAAAGATGAGGAGCTTTTTATTAAAGTTCTAGCTTCTCATTTGAAGGGTCCGGAGCTGAAGTGAAGATGCTAGAGAAGAAGGAAATTAAAAAAAAAAAAAAAAGTAAAGCTATGTGAATATGGCTCCTTTTTTGTTTTAATCGTCTGGGTTGAGAAGTTTGGTCTTTTGTTGGTATGATTTGTAATGTGTATCATTTCTTTAATTTGTGTTGATACTAATTTTGTTAATTTATTTCATCTAGAATAGCAGGCAAAGGAAGAAGATTTATATATTATGTCCCGTTGTGTTCATCTTTTTTCTCATGATTCAAGTTCAAATATTAAAAGATTATAACATGTTAAACTAGTAAATTTATATATTCTGTCCCGTTGTGGAGCAGATTTTGCATTTAGAACTAAATTTAGCTTTATTTGATGTGTATTAAAATTATATGAATTCAAATTCAATTACAATAAATATGAGTATATAACTTTAATTCAAGTAAAAAAAAAAAAAAAACCTGGAAAAAAAAAAAAAGGCCCAAAGTGGAGTGTGTGAATTATGCCAAAAAGGCAACCCATAACTTATGGGCCACAAGTGGAGTGTGCGAATTGGGCCGAAAAGGCAACCCATCATTAATCTTATTAACCGGTTAACCGAACTGAATTTTTGGTTCAGTTCATAACCGAAACCGGACCGGTTTCGGTTCAATTTATTTTTAAAACCAAAAACCGGTTCAGTTCAAGCAACCGGTTAACCGGATTTTTCCACCCCTATAAAAATCACTTCCTGTTAAACAATAGTGTTGCTATTGAAGCCCAATTTAATGTTAGTCCCAATTTGTCATCTTTTAAAAATTGAAATATAAAATAGTTTTAAATTTATTAAAAAAGATATTTTACTCTCAAACATTCAATACGTTCTTCATTTTTCCTAATATAAGTAAGAACCTTCATAAGAAGAGACAGATGAGTACGAGCCATTAGGAAAATTCTGCAAATATTAAACTAATGGTGTTGAAGCTTTTAGTGAAAACAAGCCGGTGAAAGATATGAACTTTTCAAAAAGCCATGTAAAGAATCCAGGAAGCATCATAACAGCTTTCACACAGTCAGTCCTTGAAGGCGGTATTTTAAGTAGAAACTTAATGGACAGTACCTTGAGATCGTCGGCTTTTCCACAGAGCAGGTGAGTCTACTCCAACTTCAGCCTCCACGCTTGTCTTTATCTAAAAGACAAAGAAATTAAAACAGTACAAGGTTGACCAAACTGGAGACTTCTTCAAGTAATTACCTGGGGTTATATGAGCTCTGAGGTTAACTAATTTAATTTTTATTTACATAATGAAAGATATTTGGCACAAGTTTGCGTGATGAAAGATAAATCAATTGGTGTTTTGCCATTGATGATGTAGAAATTTGCACTAATTAGAGATTTGTGATTGATAACATTAAAATCACGGAAAATGTGTGCATGATTCCGATAAGTCAATAATAAAACAATACAATAATGATTATGCAAGGATTAATATAGAATAATAAAGAAATTAAAAACTTTTTAGAGTGTATGGTACTTGTAATGTAAAGCCTACGTCTATTATTATATTCTTGAATGCGTTGAAACAATAATTTGATTTACAAAGAGTTTACAAGTTACTTACTACTGCTATTTTTTTATCTTTAGAAATAGATCCATCTACATTTATATAGTGCCAGTTATATGGTTGAATTAGAGATAAACTCAAAATTATATGAATTTTATCCGCTCCAGATTACCACTCAACCAGCACAACACCATCTATAATACCACTTGGCCAGCATCTCAAAATGCATTAATAAAAATTGAACCCACCGACCGTTTACTAATTACTACTAGTCAACAATCCTTTTAATAACATTAAATGCAATATCAAGAAATTAATGTACTAACATATATTTTACTTCACGTTATCGCCCAAAATGACATGCTTTCCGACGGTCTGCCATGGTGAATTAGTCAGCCGACAGGGATACAACGCTACCAACTACACCGATTCGTTGCTTTCTTGTAATTTATGTGAAGGCTGTTGCGCGCTAAGTTACCAACTCCAACTTTTTGTTTCCCTCTTTTCCTTTTATGTCTACAGTTCCTGCTCTATAAATACTCATAACCCATATTAGCTCTTATCATAATCATACCAAGTTCTTAAATTTTCTCATTGTTCAAGTTTTCTTCTCTAGTCTTGTGTGTCTCGAAAGTGAAAGATACAAAAAACACAAACAATGGCTCACTTGATGAGCTTCCTCATTGCTTTTTCTCTCATTGCCTTTGCCCCTTTTTGCCTCTGTGACAAGGCGAACGATGGGCATCTCTACCCCCAGTTTTATGATCACTCATGTCCCAAAGCTCAAGAGATAGTGAAGTCCATTGTGGCTGAGGCTGTTGCAAAAGAAACCCGCATGGCTGCTTCTTTGCTGAGGCTCCATTTCCATGACTGTTTTGTAAAGGTCTGCTACTTCCTCAAAACTCTCATTTCATTTTCTTAAATTCATTCATAAAAATTTTCACAACTTCATTTCCGATGTATGAATTGTACTTCACACTGTATGGTCAATTTTATAGGGGTGTGATGCATCAATATTGTTACATAGCAGTGGCACCATAATTAGTGAGAAAAGCTCCAATCCTAACCGGGGTTCAGCTAGGGGATTTGAAGTCCTCGATGAGATCAAGTCTGCTCTTGAGAAGGAATGTCCTCAAGACAGTATCCTGTGCTGATATTTTGGCTCTAGCTGCCAGAGATTCCACTGTCTTGGTAAGTCTTAATATTTTAGCCTTTTTACTTTACCAAAATGGCCTTGCAATATGGCCAAATCTTACCAATTTTTGCATGTCCAGACTGGCGGTCCTAGCTGGGAAGTTCCATTAGGAAGAAGAGACTCCAGGGGTGCAAGCTTGAGTGGCTCTAACAATAACATTCCTGCTCCAAACAACACATTCCAAACCATTCTCACCAAGTTCAAGTTACAAGGACTTGATGTTGTTGATCTTGTAGCGCTGTCTGGTAAACTAGCTTACTGCAGTCAACTCTTATTTTGTGTTTCTAGAAACGAGGCACCTTCGAGTAATTTCTAAAATTTTTTGACGCAGGGAGTCATACAATCGGAAATTCCCGTTGCACAAGCTTCAGGCAGAGACTGTACAACCAATCAGGCAACGGACAACCTGACAACACTCTTGACCAATCATATGCTTCTCAATTGCGACCCCGATGCCCAAGATCTGGTGGTGATCAGAACCTTTTCTTCTTGGACTTTGTTAGCCCAACAAAGTTTGATAACACCTATTACAAAAACATATTGGCTTCAAAGGGTCTATTAAACTCTGATCAAGTTCTCTTAACTAAGAATGAAGCATCGATGGAGTTAGTGAAAAAATATGCAGAGAACAATAAGCTTTTCTTTGAGCAATTTGCCAAGTCCATGATTAAGATGGGTAATATCTCTCCATTGACCGGTTCCAAGGGAGAGATCAGAAAGCACTGCAGGAAGATTAACAAATAAATAGCTTGGCCAATATCACTGTGAGTGTGACACCAATAAAGGAAAACAAGTTTTTTATGTGCATTTATCATCTCCCATTATCTGTTTTATGTTCTTTCTGTTCCTTCAATTGAGAAAATTCCAACTGTCAATTTTCGTTGTACCTATTACCAGTGTACTCTGAACTTGTAATGTATTCGGTTGATTTTGAGCTCGTGCTTAATAGAAATTTATGTTATTCTTCTTTTAAGTACTGAAAACCAAACATATAGTTTACTTCATGGGAAGCCCCTGCTGCACAATATAACTGAGTCTACTGTACTAAAGGAACTGAATTGATCTCATAATCATTTAATCTGAATTGGCAAGACTGGATGGTAAAGTATTCGGTCATTGAATTGGATGTTCATATTTTTTAACCGAAGATGTTTATATTAGCTTGCGCGCACCTTAACTAATCATTCGGAGACCTAAAGTTGATGATATGGTAAGTTCCTTCAGTGACCATCCCTATTAGGGTTTGTGGGGACTCGAACTTAAGAATCCATGTTGGACCCTTTGCTCTTTTACCATCTGGCCAGCAGGTAGTAGTTTGTGAACTTTTTTCTTAAACACGTCTCATTGTTGTTATTTCATTTCCTTAATTTTGTTCCTCACTGGTCTTTGTAATGCATTGCATAATATTTAAGCAAACTAAAAAATAACTGACAAGAATGAAATTATAATTTATTTGTTAGTTCCTAATCCTTCTCATTCTATAAATTTGTTTTCTATTACTTCAAAGATTGTACAAATTTATGCAATATATATATTAACATAAATTTGATAAATAAAAAAGAATTAAGGTTTATGACTTCTTTAAATAATTAATTATAATAGATGAGAAGTAGGCATTATTCTTTTTTGAGTAATACTACAGTTACCGACGGGTGTGCACCGAATTTATGCACAGAATGACGTGAAAAAATCCTGACCGTTGATTCATTATAAGTTAATATTACTCAACGATCAGGATTTTATCACGTCACTCGGTGCACAATTTCGGTGTACACTTTTCAGTAGCTCTATCATTTTCCTTCTTTTTTAGTTAATATAAAATCAAACCCAACCAGAAGGACCGGGCCAGGCTCACAGTATAAACAACCCAAACTTCAAGGGCATAAACGTAAAAGACTAATAAATCATCTCTCTTCTCCGTAGGGTTTATGCAAGTCTCAGTAATTCTTCACACCTTCAACACCATGAATGCACTCATTTCCCATCCTTCCAATCCGATATTAATGTAAAAAGAGTCTCCATTTTGAAATTCAAACCTTAAAAATGAGGTATTGAGGCCTCATTTCCTCACATTTATCTCGAAGTTTCAAATCTATCCTTCAAAACCCTTGAAGTTGTACTACCAATGCTAATCTCCCAAACACTCTGATTATTGCTCGGAAGTACTATACTCCCACCCAAAAGCCGTCCGAAAAAGTGTCTGCAATAGTGGACGAACTCTCAGAGCTTACACTCCTAGGCTCAGTCTCTCCTCCCTTGGGCCTAGTCCGGTCCTAGGATCGGTCATAGGACCAAGTTTTGGACTTGGGCCAAAATTCCATCTCTAGTTTTTATAAATAATTTTTTTTTCTTTAAATACATATTGCTTTCAAAGATGAACAATTGATTTCACACATCTACTATAAAAGACAGAAACAAGGTAAGCAAGAAGTAAAGAGAACAAAAATAATTATGGAAAGAGAGAGAAAATCAGGAAAAAATATATGTTTTAATCAAAATCATTACTAAAAGAATAAATTATTTAAATCAATTTTATTTATAAATAGAGCTTACAAAGATATCTAATGAACAATTAATCTTAGAAGTCTTTTTTTTTTTTTTTTTTTGGTTTAATTGGAGTAAATTGGGCATTATCTATAAATTCTAAGTTGAAAAAAAACTCCTTTCTATATGATGGGTATATTAAAAATATTCTGAACGAATTAAAAACAATAATAATCTTGTACTTGCAGTAAGTTATGATTGTGCGTCAAATTCAGGTCATTTCTATTGTCCCACTAAATATGTTGAGCAGCATATATGCCTTCCTAATGTATAATTTACGTCCTTCAAGCTAAGAAAAAGCCTCTTGTCTTCACGTAAATAAGCGGAATAGAGTTTAATACTCAATATTGATACGTAAAACCTGGGTTTACTAAAATGAATTCCTCCGAACCTGACATAAAATATATGGCAAAACCCTGAAAATAGTTTAAGCTTATGATCAGATATAGAGACTTGAATAGCTTAACCATTTCAGATGCAGGCAAGCGTATTAATTCTAAAACTGTGATGGATACGTTCCAGTTGATATCGACTGCACTCCTCAAACGCGTAGATGAAGATCACAAATTTTCAAGATAAATGCAATATCAAGAAATTAATGTATTAACATTTGTTTTACTTCACGTTATCGCCCAAAATGACATGCTTTTCGACGGTCTGCCATGGTGAATTAGTCAGCCGACAGGGATACAACGCCACCAACTACACCGATTCGTTGCTTTCTTGTAATTTATGTGAAGGCTGTTGCGCGCTAAGTTACCAACTCCAACTTTTTGTTTCCCTCTTTTCCTTTTATGTCTACAGTTCCTGCTCTATAAATACTCATAACCCATATTAGCTCTTATCATAATCATACCAAGTTCTTAAATTTTCTCATTGTTCAAGTTTTCTTCTCTAGTCTTGTGTGTCTCGAAAGTGAAAGACAAAAAAAACACACAAACAATGGCTTCCTTGATGAGCTTGCTCATAACTTTTTCTCTCATTGCCTTTGCCCCTTTTTGCTTCTGTGGCAAGGCCAACAATGGTTACCTCCACCCCCAGTTTTATGATCACTCATGTCCTATAGCTCAAGAGATAGTGAAGTCCATTGTGGCTAAGGCCAACAATGGTTACCTCTACCCCCAGTTCATTTCCTGACATTTATCTCGAAGTTTCAAATTCGTCCTTCAGAACCCTCGAAGTTGTACTACCAATGCTAATCTCCCAATCACTCTGATTTTTGCTCGAAAGTACTATACTCCCACCCAAAAACCGTTGGAAAAAGTGTTTGCAATAGTGGACGAACTCTCAGAGCTTATACTCTTAGGCTCAGTCCCTCCTCCCTTGGGCCTAGTCCGGTCTAGGACCAGGTTTTGGACCTGGGCCAAAATTCCATCTCTAGTTTTTATAAATAATTTTTTTTTTCTTCTTTAAATACATATTGCTTTCAAAGATGAACAATTGATTTCACACATCTACTATAAAAGGGAGAAACAAGGTAAGCAAGAAGTAAAGAGATAAAGAGAAAGGGAACAAAAATGATTATGGAAAGAGAGAGAAAATCAGAAAAAATATATTTTTTAATCAAAATCATTAGATTCATTACTAAAAGAATAAATTATTTAAATCAATTTTATTTATAAATAGAGCTTACGAAAGATTTTTAAGAACATCTTCAAAAAACTTTTTAAATAACTCAAACTCTTTATTATAAAGATTTTATTTATAAAAACAAGAGTCCAACAGACTCTTTATTTTTAAAATATAAATTAGAGAGTGAGTTTGACTCTCTATCCTAATTTTAATTAATAAATTATAAATTTCTATATATTTTATTTATTAATTCTCTCTCCCTTTAAGTTTTTTTCTTAAAATAAAGAGCACCTTTATTAAATTTAAAAAATCTATTAGATTTGAATAAAAATTATGTTTTTTATATTTTAAAATTAATAAAGATACTCTTTATTTTATTTGAAAGATGTTCTTTAAAATAAAATAAACAAAGGTATTTTAATGAACCATCGATCTTAGAAGGTTTTTTTTTTTTTTTTTTTTTTTTTTTTTTTTTTTTTTTTTNTGACTTACACTCCCTCCTCCCTTGGGCCTAGTTCGGTCCTAGAATCAGTCATAGGACCAGGTTTTGGACCTGGGCCAAAATTCCATCTCTAGTTTTTATAAATAATTTTTGTTTTTCTTTAAATACATATTGCTTTCAAAGATGAACAATTGATTTCACACACCTACTATAAAAGAGAGAAACAAGGTAAGCAAGAAGTAAAGAGATAAAGAGAACAAAAATAATTATGGAAAGAGAGAGAAAATATATTTTTTAATCAAAATCATTACTAAAAGAATAAATTATTTAAATCAATTTTATTTATAAATAGAGCTTAAGAATATATCTAATGAACAATTAATCTTAGAAGTCTTTTTTTTAATTGGAGTAAATTCAGTTACTTAAGCCCAAGCAAAATCCACCTACAATTTATCATCTCCTACATTTCTTGACTTGCAGAAAAGAATGGCAGTTGTGAATTAATCTGAGATGGGACTAGCGTCAGGCTTATGTGGCAAATGAATTCCAGCTGGGTGTGCAACGGATTTATCTATAGATCTCAATTCAAATTCGCTCTAAATTATTTTAATTAAGATTCTTCTGGCAAGTGTTTGATTAAGTCGGTGGACAGCACCTTTATTGGGGTCCAAAACTTGGATAAAATTGTGCTTTAAATTAATTAAATAAATAAACCAAGTACCACCACTGTTTCTACCTGCCATACTGGGTATAACCATAACCCATGACAGAGATGAGATGTCGACTAGTGACTAGCTCCCTGGACACTTCTTAATGCCTGGCAATGAAGATTGGGAGTAACAATTGCAGTTGGACAATATCTTTTAATGCCTTTGACAAATTCCAAATACAAAGGATTCCACTTTGTTCAAGAAAACCTTCCCTAGTTTGATACTCCCCAGTCCCCAGTCCCCAGTCAGATACATGTGATGAACTTGGACTGTATTCTGATGTTAATAACTACTCCCGAGTTTTGGGTGGCTTAAATAGTCTCCAAATTTAATGTTTTTCTCTCCTCACCTAAGTATGTGAATTATTTCCTAAATTTAATATCATGCCTCATTCATGTACTTTATAAATGCTCAGTTTCTTGCCTAACCAAAACTTTTTAAATTTTTTAAAATAGGAGTATACTTTATACCATAAGTTAAACATATGTTACATAACTAACTACTATATAAATCATAAATGTCAGATTTTAAGAAAAAAAGTCTCAGCAATAGGTTTACATACAGCCGCACCCACGTATGGGTTAAACAAAATTGTCAATTCTGTATGTCTAACTATTGTAAATCGATAATTTTTTATTATCTCATCTTCTGATGTTGAAATGAGGTTTGGACTGATGATGGTGGTTGCGGGTGGAAAACTTTTTGTAGCTCATTGTACCTCTCAACATCAAAATTATGAAGCTTGAAGAGTTTTTACTGCTTGGCGGTGAACCGGCTCTGGTAAAAGCCTTCAAAAGAAGGCTCTTTAGATGTCCTGAGAAAGAATGCATACCCAGCCATGAAGTACATGGAAGTAACGTAGAAACATATGGGCTCCATTACATCCCATGTGAGTTCCCAAAACGTCAGCCTCATGAATGCTGTTGTTTGGACTACCAAGTAGCCAAGTCCACACCACAGTTCACGACGAACCAGGAAGTCTGCCTTTTGGTCTATTGCGGCTTTCTGCTTCTCCAACTCTTCAAATTCCTTTCTTCTCGGGTCGTTTGAGTTGGCCTCTGGGACATGTATTAGACCCTCAATAGCTTTGGTTACCTGTAATCAGAAAACGGAAAAAAAAAAAGCAATATTGGGTAACTTTTCTTCTTTAAATATTAATTATTCTACTCTTGTTTGTAAGTAAATGAACGTGTATTGACAGACAAACAGTAAAACTCTAACGTCTGCCCTCAGCGGCTACATCAGATATTCTACAGCTTAATATGATTATGAAAATTGATCAAATAATAAAAAATTATCGGCAAATGACTAAGGGAAAGGGCAATTTGGTTATTGGATTCGGAATTTATCTCGGCAGGTACTAGCTGACGCACATCACTCGAGATAAACAACAAGAGATTAAAGCCCCAAAGTCCTAGTTGCCAATTTAGACCCTTCATAAAAATTAATTAAAAACTTCAACCCAACCATACCAAAACTTGAGGAAATTAATAAATCACAAGAAAAATTGAAAATAAATAAAACCCTGCATTCAACAAATCCTTTTTCTAGCCTCTTCTATGTGTGGTTCTCCAATTCTCATACGTCAAATATGAGATATTCATGTAACGTGAAACATGTAAAACATTTATGGAGTCTTTAAGTTTTTTTCAAATATATGTATTTTTCTCAAAACCCAAAAATGAAACGGACGAAGTAGCGTTTTTCATCTAATTAAAAATAATTTTGTCAGCATTCAAGACATTTTTAAATATTATCTAGATTGATTTATTGAAAAAGATAAACTTTTTGAGAAATAGAATGCTGTACAGCCGAGCATAACCGAAATTTGCGTTGTCGTCTCTATCTTTTTAAACTAATAATCTCTCTCCTTTTTTTTTTTTTTAAAAAAAGTAATTTAAAAAGCTTTTTGTATTTTGTTTTAATTTTCAAGTCTCAGTGATCGATACCGAAAACAGGGCAAAGGCATGGGAAATAAACCAAAACCTTAAACCCAAATCTGGTCACCTCAACACCTAACGTGGAACCCTTTTCACGTTTTAGATCTGGCCTGTGAAAAAAAACAAAACACAAAACAAAAAATAACCACAAAAAAACATATCAGTTCTCTATACCACCCAAATTTAAATTAAAAAAAAAATTCTCGTAAATCCAAAACCTAACTCCTCGGGACCATGGATCCTAATTTTTAACCTTATCTGTAAAAGGTTAACAAAATGAACAAATAATAATTTTATTATAATTAAACATTTAATAAATATTAACAAATAAATTATGGAAAGAAAATTACCTGTTCAGGTCTAAGATATACAACATTTCCCAAAACGATAACGTTTCCTGATTCGTCAAGCAATTTTGCAAACTGCAATCCCTGATTCGGATCCGAAACGGCCTCTTCGCAGACACGAACAAACTCCGAATACGGTATCCAAGGCTGCTCGATCGTTCTCAGTTTCTCTTTCACGACTTCAATATGAAACGCCCTCAGCAACTTCCTAGCGTCCTTCACAGACAAACTCTCCGCCTTCTCCGTCTCCAAACTCGGAGGTGGACTCAAACCGTCCAGTCGGATCCTATCTTTAGCAATGTCGATTGTTTTCAATTTCTCCATAAGACTCTCCCCTCCGATCGATGATAATTTCGGTTGAAGAATGGCTCTCTTGTGGAGAAACCTCCGGAAGATACCATTGTCTCCGGGATCCGGCGCAATGTTAGATTTGGCCGCGTTTTGAGAAATCCGGGTGGTTGTTGATGTGGTTGAAATGCGGCAATTGGTTAGCGCCTGAGTCGAGATTTTTGAAAGGCTGAAAAGACGATCAGCTAATGTCTTCTTCAACGCCATTGACAGAGGGAATACAAAATAATTTGCAAGAGCTTTCGTTTTAAGCACTCTTACGTTTCCCGATGATCTATACCAGTGTTATTTGGAGGCTTTATATAGCTGTCCCATACGGCAGGAAGTGGGTGGATCTAAAATAATAAAGAAAAAACAAAATCACGCGATTATTTGAGATAATAACGATACGAGAGAGAGAAATTAAGTGTAAACAAGTGACTAGAAAATGAACCGGGACAACTTCAATGGACGAGAAATTATTACTGCCTAAAGTTCGCGAATATTCGCACCAACCATTTACGCCTCTTAAACGTTAGATAGTAATATTCCCATGGAATAAGTTATTACTTCAATTTCAATTTCTCGAGAAGTTGGAGATATAATGGGGTGAATCTGATCATCGTACACGTGGTTGGCTAAGGATAAAAGAGCTGCACAGCCACAACCGTCTGATCATATGAAAATTAATTGATGAGAAAGTGACGTATGATTGGTGTAGATTTAAAGCATGACAATCAGTGATGACGTGGAATCGACCTGGCGGAACACGTGTAATTGGGAAGGAAAGATGATTCTTGAAGGTCAATAGTAATAATATAGGGTTGCTTACATGGAATAAGCTTCTCTGGAGCTGAGAAAGAAGTGGTATTAATTGGTCTTGCGTTCACGCAAACGTGTCGCCACATATTGTTCGTATCAGAAAAATCTAGGTTAGTTGGTTGCCATACACAACTTGATTTTTTTGAAAAAACGCCGCGTTTGACAATTTTGTTATAATTATTTTTTCATTTTATTTAAAATAAAGAACAAATTTTTAATTTTTTAAATAAATATAATTCACAAATTTTCTAATAATTTTGTAAAACAATAATTTTAGTAAAAAAGAATAATTTACTTAATAAAAAACATTTTATACAAAGTAACATAATATATCTGAAATAATGATTTAATAAATAACTGACACATGTTAATGCGAAGATAAGACCTCCAGCAAAAACAAATTTGAAATTGATGTGGTTTATGGTTATATGTGGAATGTTCTTTGAGTAGGTAATAGAAGCATATGGAATGTAATTAATTGCAGTTCTCCTTGGACAGAACAAGTCCCAAACAAATAGGGTTTCGATTATTAGAATCAATCCAATAAAGGGTACTCTCATTTTATTTACATTTATAATATGAGTCATGCTAGGCTTACAACTCAATCTTACAACTTTTTCTCACAACCTTTAATGTGACAGCTCATCACTAGTTCGTAAAATAGGTCCCGCCTACTTATATGGGTTTTACTTGCTCATTTACGAGCTAATCAATGACGAATTGCTACATTAGAAGTTGTGAGAAAAAGTTACAGATCTAACATCATTGTTATTGTTATAATATATAATTGCATGAAAATGTCAAAACTTTTACATTTGAGTAAACGATCTTTTCCCACCAAAATAATGGTTTAATGACACTTTCTTACCTATAGACTTTTAAAATACCACTTTACTACTCAAATTTATACTTTGTTTTCGATTCTGGCATCGTTGTAACCCACACCATCACCATTTTCTTCTCCGATCATCACTCACCAAAACCCCTCAAACTCTATTCCTATCGACCCTGCCAATCACCAACAATTGAGCGATTAGGGTTTTTCTAGCCACTCTTCACAAGTCACATTCCAATCAATTTCAATCACAAAAATCTAACATTTTACCACTAAAAGACTGATTGACTTCCCCTTTTCAAAAGCCCTAACAGTCTGAATCAATTTTGCTCTTTGTTCACCGTTAGAACATAAATTTAAATAATAAAACGGTATTATAAAAGTCTACTGGTGAGAAAATTTCATTAAACCCCAAATGGGTGAGAAAAAGTCGTTAACTCTTTACATTTTGATCGTCCAAGTTCGTAGTGGACAAGTTGGTAATGATGTCAATTCCAAATTGCTTGAAAAATGTTGAAAAATTGAGAAGCTTAGTCAATAACTACATTAATCAAGGGTAACGTAATATAAACAAACAGTGTTGGATTATAGTTTTATTTCTAAGCTTATGAAAGTGAACGGCCACACACGCTTTACACGCATTTATTTCATACGTAGTAAGAAAGGTGAAGAAGTGATGGTTGACTTTTGGAAATAGAAAGCTTAGAATTTACTGGTGATACGCAATATTTGTATTTAATACAAGAAAATCAATTGTTTAGTTTTAACTTATATATAAATATATATTTTTTAAAATAATTATGTTCTAATATAATTTTAGAAATTAATTTCATTTTTTTTTTCTATGAGTGTTTTGTATATAACTTAGAAATGTATTTTTATTTTTACCCTTTTTTATTACTTTGAAGAACGTACTTAGAAATATTGTTTTAGGTTAATTCCAAAAAATATATTAGTATATTCATCAAACATTAACAGAGTCCAATATTTCAACAACTTTTTACAGCAATCACTGAATAATCGGATTTTTTATTTTTTTTATCTTTTTGGTGATGTGATATCTACAAAGTCAATTTCAACGTTTATCTAGAGTTTCAAATTTAATTAAATTAAAATTTCTTGTACAACTTAATAATTCATTGATTGTTAATTCGAATATTTTAAACATTTTTATAATTCTTTATTTAATCTCCACATCTCTCCCTTATCAAACTAAAATCCTAATCTTTATTTAATCTCCAATCTTCCCCTTATCAAATTATATCCCTGTATAGTATGACTACGACTTCTTCTAGCTCCCATATATTTAGGTTGGCATAAGTCCATACAAATGAAATAAATGACTGATTTATTGTTAATATTTAATATCTATTTATTAGTATTTCAAATTAAATTTCTAAAAACTAAAAAACAAGTAGATAATGAGAGCATATTATAAGAATAATATTCTAAGACAGTCAACCATCACCAATTATTTTTCTAAAACTAAACCAATTATTTTGCGTAAAAAAAATAAAATAAAATTCAAAATAGAATAAAAATAGTGCTCTTAGTCTCAGAACTTCAGTGCCTTTGATAATTGATCCCTTCATTTTCCAAGAGTAAAAAAAAGATTATTGTACCCACAAATATATACCACAGTAAAAACTACAAAGAACTTAAGAACTACAATATGATAACNTTAGGTTGGCATAAGTCCATACAAATGAAATAAATGACTGATTTATTGTTAATATTTAATATCTATTTATTTGTATTTCAAATTAAATTTCTAAAAACTAAAAAACGAGTAGATAATGAGAGCATATTATAAGAATAATATTCTAAAACGGGCAACCATCACCAATTATTTTTCTAAAACTAAACCAATTATTTTGCGTAAAAAAAATAAAATAAAATTCAAAATAGAATAAAAATAGTGCTCTTAGTCTCAGAACTTCAGTGCCTTTGATAATTGATCCCTTCATTTTCCAAGAGTAAAAAAAAGATTATTGTACCCACAAATATATACCACAGTAAAAACTACAAAGAACTTAAGAACTACAATATGATAACCAATGTGATAACTCAGGTTTGGTGATTGTAATTTGTGATATTATGGAGTTCTTTTGTTGCATAATTACGTAACTTGCTTCGGTAATATAGACACGTTTTCTTATGCTTTTTTTGTAATTTTCAATTTTATAAAATGACTAGAGTATTAGATGCTTAAATAACACTAATCTTTAAGTATTGGAATATGGGAATAGGCAAAGTGCACTGTTTTACAAGACTGAAAATAAGTATCAAAGTTATACGACTAATTTTAAATTAAAAATAAATTTTTACTTAATTATCTTTCGTCGTATAATATTGTACGAAAAATATTATATAAAAATATTATATGTATAATATTATGCTATTAAAAAAGAATTTGAGAGTGATGAAATTATAAGCATTTGGCGTTGAGCATATTCGGCAGCTTACTTACGCCATGAACTGCGATGACTTTACCTAGAGATCATTGATGCTGGAGGAATAATTGCGTGGCGATAACTCAATAATACAAGGTATAAATTGGTTGATAGCAACTCAATAAGAATCGTAGAGATATATAATTTGACACGATTGGGATGCTCAAAACAGGATTTCTCTGTGAGCACCTTTTCATAGCAAATGCTTACAGGATTGCTATTCTCTACCAACTTGCTAATTAACTCATCTTCTTTAATACAACTCCAATCAACCCAAATCGGTAAGAGTCACACAATGGAATTTTTCAAGGCTGATGTGCAAACTTGACGACCATCATGTTGACGTATGGTGGTGAGAATTCCTACTTTTATTATAATGAAATAACCATATAAGACCGTAAAAGATTGGACTGATGATCAAGAATGTTTATTCTCTTTATTTGATTTTTTGGATTCAAATCACCTTGAGATTACCTACCACATTTGTGACTGGAGAATAGTTGAAGGAAAGAAATATAGAAAAGTGATTTTGATTATTATATAAAAATGATGTGATTATGAAGGGTGAATGTCGACTGGCAATGAATGATTGTGAATATTGGAATTTATTCTGATATAATTATCGAAGATAAGGCAAAAAGGTTACTGAATAAGAAACCAAAAATCGAGTCCCCTCTTTCAACCATTGAATTAGAATGATAAAATATCAAAGACAAAATGATCAAATAATACTCGGATTTGACGGCTCTGAGGACAGCATATTGTCCTGGTATTCCATTATAGGAGGTTGGCATTAATGTTAAACCTAAGTTGAGATATATATCAACTACTGAAGATTGAGAATCCAACCCATGTTATGAAAACTTTTTTATTCCATTTTATTTAATACAATGTAATAAATATTAAAAGTGATGCCAATCCTACAATGAAGTAACCTCAGCCACAGCCAGCTTCTCCTAGGCAACAGTACATGCATCAGCTACCCAGTTTTCATCACTCATATATCTCTTTGTTTCAAGGTCTCTTCATCCGTTTGGTCGAATAGCATATATTCTTGAGAATTATTGCCTCAACATGTTGTGGGGTGGACTTCTGCTTATCCCTCACAAATTCTCAATATGCAGAACCCATGACATCAAATGTTGATCCACTTCTGTTGTAGCTAGCGTGGCAAA